TACTGTTTTTCCGGGGGAAGTCGAGGTCTTGCTGAGAGTCCTTTGCTGACTTCTCGGATTCTTTTTTCTCGCGGTGATCCGCGATGTATTTTTTCAAGTATCCCTTCCGGACCATGTCCTCTATCTGGTCCTTCAGTTGGATACACTCCTCAGTGTTGTGTCCCGAAGACTCGTGGAACTCGCACCACTGATTTTTATTTTTTCGCTGATACCACTCTGGGAGTGGTCTCGGCTTTCGGTAACTCTGCTCCTCCTTCGTCACGCTGTAAATTTTGGCGCGTGGAAGAGAGAGCGGAGTGTAGGACTCGTATCTGCCTGTGTATGAGGCAGATCTTTCCTTCTTTGGGTCGCTGGCCAAAGATTGCTCCGAGGCCTTTGACTTTCCCTTTGCCTTATGGCCTTGGCCTTCAGACAAGGGTATTTGCCTTTGTTTCCCTCCCCCAAATTGAGTTTGGGTTTTCGCTTTGTTCCATTCTTCGGCTCGGATGAACTTATCCGAGGCATCCAGAGCTTCCTCCAAGGTCTGCGGGGTATGCATGACCATGAATTCTAGGAACTTTCCGGGCTGAAGGCCATTCTGCATTGCAAAAACGGCTAGCCCCTGGTCCAGCTGAGAGACGCTGGATGACTCGTTACTGAAACGGGTCAGATAGTCTCGGAGGCTTTCGGTTTCCCCCTGTTGTAGACTCATGAGCTCTGCAGTAGTCTTCTCTCGGCGGTTTGCCGTGGAAAACTTGCTCCTGAACTTGGAGGATAGATCATCCCACCCTGTTATGGAGCCTTGCCTTACTCCCTTGGAGATCCACGCTTGCGCGACCCCCTTGAGAGTGGTTGGGAAATATTTGCACCAAGTCACCTCGGATCTGGGGCAAAGATGCATATGAGTCTCATACGAGGCCACGTGATCCTTCGGATCCGAGGTCCCGTCATATGTGATGTGCGACGGTATTTTAACCGTGGGTACGCGCTCTTCCAGTATCCATTGCTCGAATGGTGAACTGGCGGGTAGCATAACGGCCTTGCCCTTGTTCCTGGCCGAAGGGACCGCGCTCCGCCCTCTTAGAGAGGTAGGAGTGGTTTTCGTCCCTGGCTGGGAAGTCTGGGCCTCGGCTGCAGGGAACAAGAGGCGACTGCGCACGCTCGGTTCCTTGCCGCCGAGTCGGTCAAGGACGCTTCGGCGAACAGTCTCAGGTTCTCGGTGAGTAGATTCTGGCCGAGAAGCTGAGCTGTTGCTCTTATGCATTTCTGGTCGTGAGGATGAGGATCCCTTTAAAAATTGAGGGTTCTTTTTCCTCTCTTTTTCATTCTTCCATGTATCCTCTTCCCACTCTTCCAGTTCCCGGAAGGAAGGAAGCTTCCCACCATCATGGTCTAACTTCCTCCGCTGATGTCGGGTATGCGGAGGAGTTCGATCACGAGGTGGTGGCATATTTTGTGCCCTCATCGCCTCCATGAGCACTGCCAGCGCTCTTGCCACCTCTTCCGAGCTGGGCCCCGTCAAAGGGGTCCTCGGCCGAGTATGGCAATGAGGGCGCACAGCCGATGGTTGGCTTTGGGGCACTGAATGTGTCCTATGATCGGACTCACCCCTGCTAGACCGAGAGTGACTCGGCCTATAATGAGAGTCATGAATTACGGGAGAAAGGGAATCCTCCTTGTATGATCCTCCCCCCGAGCTGGCACCCTTGGGAGAGTTCCGGTCCGGCGAGGGTGATGGTGTAGGGGTTTTAGGCTTTTCGCCCGCTCCTTGACGGAGGCTTTTGCTCTTGCGGTTCTTAGCCATTGCTACTAAGATAATTGCAAGATGATCTTGGTTAGAGATTTGGCTTAAAGATTTTTGAAAGTCTTCCCCACAGACGGCGCCAAATTGTTTCGGGTGAAAACAATGGGACCTTGCCGAAGGTCCGCTGAAATGGAGAAGACTGGATTCGGTCCAAGTTATGTTGGGCCGAAGGTTTCCTGCACAGTAAATACACGTAAACTAGCCTCGGGGGTGTTGCCGAGGAAGACCCCTCCGATGCTAAAGTCAGTACAATGTGTAGAAAGAGAACACTATGCAAGAGAATTTGTTGCTTGAGGCTTTATTTGAGTATATGAGAATATATGAATCTATGAATATATGTGAATGTATGAATATTGATGGCTTTTATACCTCTTCATTCATGGAGAGGTTGGGCCTTAGCCCAATTGGCTTGCTTTGAGGGCTGACCTTTGACTTTAGCACAATTGGAGAGTTGAACCTTGACCTTGGGCTTTTAATTGGATCATTTAATGCCTAGGCCCAATTGGACTAAATTGGACCCAAACAAATGACAAACATGTTCATGATGAACCCATGCTGATGTTGATTTCATTATCCCCAATTATACAAAATTGATGAAGTCTTCCTTGGATAATGCACTAATTAATTCTTAATTATATCCTAATTTCATCTTTTTTTAACCTAAGATTCCTTGCTGGCATTGCATGACGTTCCATGCACAGTAATCTAATTCTACGCATTAGTATTATTCAATTGTGTTCGGCAAAATTCATTCAAGAAAGATAATTAATAAGATCATTCAGAATACAGAGAATTAACATAAACATATTCTATAAACTCCCCTTTACGTCTTGAATTAGAATTTTCACTTCTAAATTGATGAAATTACTGAATTATACAGGAGCCAGTAAACCCAAATAATCTCCTTTCTAAAAGAAGCAAGTAAACTCTATGCAATTACTGAATCATTTCTAAAAGAAGTATCCTTTTTACTGAATTATGCAGGAGCCAGTAAACCCATGCACAGACCTAAGATTCCTTGATTTCATTGATGAAGTCTTCCTTGGATAATGCACTAATTAATAATTTAATATTACTTACCCATACAAAAATTAAATAAAAGCACTACAAACTTACTAACCCATGAAAATTTTCACTCTTAAAAACCAATTTTAGTTACAATACCATTTCTTACTTTACTAAGGTCTCTTCCTTTAAGAGTCCTTCAATTCTCATGGAATGCTTGATTAAACATATAATTGTTGTCGGGTTGTTAAAAGTTCTTAGAGAGACTGATATTACTTAATAAAAATTGACCTTGTATATCTCTTCTTTCTTAAGAAACTAATAAGACGGTCTTATAACTATTAAAGTCGCTGAACTTATCTTCACATAAAATGTGGTATATTGGTGATCCATTATTTGTACTATAGGACACCAAATTAAATTAACTCATAGATTAGCAGAATGTGGCATTTCTACACAACATCTTATGGAATTAAAGACAACAAAAATTAAGCACACAGAAGGTGATATTTTGTTGATAAGAACGAAAATCAACCAATAGTCAATGCCATGATGATAAGTGCATAATACAATGAAGTCAGAGGTGCAAGAAAATATCTCTAAAACAGCTCTGGCAAAGGTTCCATCATCTAGATATATCCATACAACATAAGTCAACAAATCAATCACTTAACACACCATCTACTTTCAGACTATTAATTACAAATATCGAACCTTGTTCCGCCATTGTTGCATCTTCTTCATTATCCGTTACTTCTTCCTCTAAAGATGAAAACTTTAATTAAGAAGGAAATAGGTTCGGAGCCGAAGAAAAGGGGAAAAGGACAAAGAAAAGGGCAATACCGAAGGGATAATTCGAAGGATGTTGCTACTATTCAACAATGGGTGATAAGAATTTCAGAACTTATAACAACGCCGAAGCTTCAAGCTCCATAGCCGAGGCTAGTGGTTGGTGCGACCCATAATGGCGGAATGCAGGTTGCACAAGAACGCATCATTGTCTCCCAAGTCGACATAAATCTTCAAAATTCCAGGAAGCCATTCATGGCAGAGGCTAAATAGCTTCATGCCAAGCTCAAAGATCCGAATCGAGCAAATTGGTTCGGCATTGTTCAAGGCTTCTCCAAGCCGAGGTGGTGTTTCTCCATTACCTAGCCTCTTCGCAAGCTCCGCCGAGGAAATAACTCCAAGCCAAGGCTCTATTTTTGAGCCATGCTGAGGCCAGCAACGCCATGCCATGGCCGAAGCTTCAATCTCGGTAGCAAGAACATCGGCTTATTAGTGTGAACCTCGGCGGAGCTTATTTCGGCTAGGTACCTTGGCCATGGCTCGGCTATGGAGCTTGAACCTCAGCACCGGCAATGAAGCTGAACCTCGGCACAATAGTCTTTGCTATGGAGCTTGAATTCGGCATCAATAGTCTCGGCCATGGCTCAAATGAAGCTTTAAAGCCTCAGCATTGCTAGCCTCGGCCATGGCTCAAAATGGAGGCTAAAAGTCTCGGCGTCCACCATAGATGGATTCGGCTGGGAGTTGTTTCCCTCGATAAAGCTTACGAAGATTGAGCTTTTTTAGCCATGACCCTTATAGCTCTTTCCTTGGCTTCCCAATTCTCGTAGCACTTTGGTGGAGGAAGTGACACACCTCGGCTCCCTTGAGTTGCCACGAAGGAAAGTGGTGAATAAGGATTGTTTGGTGGCTAAAAGCTGGAACTTCGTGGAGACCAACTTCCCATTCTCAAAGAGTATAAATGCACAGTAGTAATTTGGTGGAGACCAACTACTATTTCTTGCGAGGCAATAACATAGCTAATATTTGCTTAATTTCCTAAATATACAATCACCAAGTATATATGTAATGTTTATTTTCACCAATTCTCACCAAGTATATCTTGATAAAGGTTACAGTTAGAGATTTATTTTCTGTTGCCTGTAACTACTGCTGGGGAACCTCATAGCTGATATTTGCTCAATTTTCAAAAATATTTAACCATTTTTGTTCATTTAATTCCCAAGTTCACATTAATTTTTTTTGTGCTTAGTTTTGGTACCTGTTCTGTATCAATTTGTTTGCTTCAAATTAATTAGTGGTGAGTCCCTTGCAAAAGTAACATCATTATTTTAGTAAGCATTTCTAATTGACTTAAAATATGAAATGACTAAAAATTAAGAAAATGGTATAAATATCAAACTTGGATATCATTTTATTTCTTAGTTATGTTTTAAAGCACATAATTGGAATATTTACATAAGGCCATTATTGTAAAACAATACTAATAAATATGGTAAAGAAATAAATAAACTTAATTAAAAAACAATGATTTTATGGTAAAAAAAATGTGTAAAATTTAAGAAATACACAATTCTACTAATATGTCAGCAACAGCAGCTCAGCAGCTTCAGCTACTTCAACAAAAGCAGCAGCTGCTTCGGCTTCAGCAACAACAGCTGCTTCGGCTTCAGCAACAGCAGAAGCTTCGGCTTCAGCAACAGCTTTCAGCTTCGGCTTCAGCAGCTAAGGTGCTATAATTCTGACAAGTACTTATTAGTTATCCCGGATGTCTCTAAAGTGTTACATTTCGGCACAAATTGGATTGGCAATAATTATTGCAATTGCACCTGTTCAAAAGATAAATTGCCAGGTAGATAGTTAGAAAATGAAAATATCATTAGTATAGCAAAGATTCTTTTATAATTTTTTAAACACAATTAAAAGGTGGTTTTAGAAGCTTGGATGACTGATAAATAACTGACCAGTTAAGAGAGCAGCTAGTATATTTTGGATTAGAGGGAAATCTCCAAAGAGATAAGATCCAATAATAACCATCTAAAACGTAGGGTGGGAGGATGAAAAGATGCATCAATATTATGATAGATAAAGGTAAAGAACCTGACATATAAGAAAATATATCTCAAACTCACAGGTTCATATAGGCCAATCCTCAAGCCTCCATACTGACATTGGCGATGCAACCCTGGCACAATACCCTTCCAGAAAGCAGGCAAACCCTCTTCCCCTGCAATAGTCGCTATAGTACCCAACATGCCTTTATATCTGGCTGAAACAACTAAACCTCTTTAGACATGTCCAGATTAAATTAACTTTAATAAACAATACACAGGCATACAACACAATTACTGCTTGACAAAATCATTAACAAAACAGAAAAGTAACTTCTACTTAGATTTTGGGAAGCTAGACCAGAAGAAAGGGTAAAGTGAACCTGGCATACCCTACATTATCCCAGAACCAGATTCTTAAGAAGAATAGAGTCAAAAATTTTAAGCCATTCAATTTTTCTCCTTCGCATGTAAAAATTCTTATTTCCAGCCATAAAATCTAGATGCACCAGTATCCATCTGCCTTTAAATTCCTGCAAAGAATTAATCCGAAGTATCCATCAGCATTGGCGGACCTAGTTAATGTCATGGTGAGTCATATGACTCACCAGTGAGGCAAAAAAAAAAAAATCAATTTATTTTTAAAAAAAAAACCATCACCCTTTCGGACGGTCCAAGATGCCAGTAGTCACAATGAAAGAAAAAGAGGAAGACAGTCATAAAAGCTTTCCTCTCGTGCTTCTGTAAAGAGAAGAACCCTATCGGCGTTAGACCGGGTTACGAAACTGACGGAAATGGAAGTAGATGTTTTGGGGGCAAGTTGAGTCTTGGAGGACTCAAAAGGATGGCTGCCATTGAGCCCCGGATGTAGGTGAGGTCTAGTGTCATAACCTTGATGGGGAATTATAGAAGCGTTGGAATAGGAAGGTTGATGGCCTTGATGGGGATACACGGCCAGCTTTGGAAAAGATAATAAGGGTTTGGTTGGTTATAAGGGAGGGAAGCAGGATAATGCTTCAAGTATGGGAGGAAAAGCTTAAAATTTAGATTTAGAAAGCTTTCACATTTGGAAAGGACTAGTCATTGGAAGTTCAGGCTTTTCAACGTGAAGTGTCTTCACCATGTGTTTTTTTTTCTTTTTAATTTTCATGGATTATATATTAATAAATGTAAGTTCATAGTTTTCATTTAAATTTCACGGCTTATTTAATAAATTTTGGTTCATAGCTTACGGGCTAATACACACCCACGGGCGGATTTGGATGTTGTCCTGGTGAGTCATATCACTCACTAGTCTACCCAAAAATAAATTTATTTGAACATTTGGTTGTATTTTATACTTTTTGAATATTTGGTTGTATTTTTAGTATTATTATTTGATTGTTTGGTAAAAAAAATTTATTACATGTTTTATTATCAATTTTGACTCACCGGACGAAAATTCTTAGGTCCGCCACTGTCCATCGGCTTATACAGATACTAAATTTACCGCTATAAAATTCCACAGTTGTACAGTACATTACAGTCACGAATTACAGCAAGCTAATTTAGAAAGCTTCTCTTCTTCTAACTTTAGATAAACAGTCCATATAAAGCTGGCAGGTTCCCAAGGTTCCTGATTAGCAATTTGCACTAACCTCAACTTAACAAACTCAATTCAACAAAGGAAGCAGCTTTAACACTAAGTTGTTACATAACAACTTTTCTGGTGCTCTTTTACACATCCCATTCCCATCCTCCTATCTTCAATTCGCAACTTCAAACTAATATACAGTAAGCAGCAACAGCAATATCCCGGTGAAAATTTTGCTGCTGTCTTAATCTTAGGATTGTTCAGCCTAACTCAAATTAATCAATAGTCACTGCAACACTGCTAAATTGTCCTACAAAAATCAACCTTGTAAACCCCAATTTTCTGCTTTAGCAACTTAATCACAGTAATCTAATTCTACGCATTAGTATTATTCAATTGTGTTCGGCAAAATTCATTCAAGAAAGATAATTAATAAGATCATTCAGAATACAGAGAATTAACATAAACATATTCTATAAACTCCCCTTTACGTCTTGAATTAGAATTTTCACTTCTAAATTGATGAAATTACTGAATTATACAGGATCCAGTAAACCCAAATAATCTCCTTTCTAAAAGAAGCAAGTAAACTCTATGCAATTACTGAATCATTTCTAAAAGAAGTATCCTTTTTACTGAATTATGCAGGAGCCAGTAAACCCAAACCCAAATAACTGAATCATTTCTGTTTGGGGTCCAAATAACTTATATTTGGGCCCAGTCCATAAATGAAAATAAATAAAGCCCAATAGGAAAGGCCCAACACTCTACCCCCATATGCAAAGTCAAGTCAAAGAAGCCCAGTTGAATGGCAGCCCATTCAACTCCTCAGGCCCAGTCTCTCCAATTGGAACAAGGTATAAGATCTTTCATTTCAACACAATTACATTCACTCACTAATATTGCCTCAAGCAGCAAATCCTCTTGCATAGCATTTCTTTCCTTATCTTACACTCGTACTGATTTCGGCATCGGAGGGGTCTTCCTCGACACAACCCCGAGGCCAGTTTACGTTTGTCTTGCTGTGCAGGAAATCCTCAATTTGGTCATCACTCGAATTGGGCTTCATCTCCACTAATCCGAGGGACCTACTGAAGGTCCCCATTGTTTTTACCGAAACAATTTCTCAAATAAGCTAGTAAATTCTATGCAATTAAATCACAATTATAATTTAACAAAAAAATGGGGAAAATAGGAAAAAAATTGGGTTGAAAGAGAACGAAGCTCCTTCTGCAGCAAACTTTTGCTGAGGGCAGAGTATGTGCTGTTTTAAACCTGCAAGCAATTGTGCAATTATATGTAAGAGCAGATTAGAGTTAAATCGTCTAACTATTTAATTGGAAATGATTTTGATTTAATTTGCTAGTGCGATATAGGGTTTAGGTATGCAATTCGTTACCTAATTGTGATAATAAGTCCTAATGTGATCAATACACAATACCAGACTCACCACCTAAATTTTGCAGCCCATTTAATGCTCTAAGAAGAATGTTGGGTGCACAAATAATTCCCAATATAATCGGTAACAAGCCAAGTTAGGCCGGCTTGAGTGATTGACCTATGCACATCTCTAGTTTCTGTCAACAATCATGTGTAAGTGTGACTAATGTCACAAGTTTATACTCTTAAAAGGTCATAAATAATGTTTTCTTTTTTATTTCCAATCTCATCAGGTAATGTCTTTCGAAATAGAGCTGAATTTTGTCCTTCACTTGCTACGCAGCATGCACACAATGATACTATGCACAATGTTGCAATGGCTATGATAAGATTATAAGATTATCTAATGTTACAATCTACTGTGAACCAAATATTTCAATATCCATCTTGAATTGCCCAATTTCAAGCATTAAAGATTCAATCTTTAACAACCACCCAGAAAATAAAAAACGCCCTCTTTAAATCCATCAACAATTTCTGAAAAATAAATATAAACAACCAGTTTAATTAAAACACTTGTACAGAGAATTTCAAAGCCAGTCTCCAACATGCTTGATTCCCATTGCCTCAATGTGCTTGTTGTGTTTCACTTGAGGCAAAGGTTTAGTCAAAGGATCGACCACATTATCATCTGTGCCAATCTTACAAATTCTGATTTCACCTTCGGATTTCCATTCCCTTATCATGTGAAATCACCTTTGGACATGTTTGACCTTCTGGTGCTCTCTTGGCTCTCTAGCCTGAGCGATAGCTCCATTGTTGTCACAGTAGAGATCTATCGGACCCTTGATGGAGGGTACAACACCAAGTTCACTGATGAACTTGTGAATCCAAACAGCCTCCTTAGCAGCTTCTGAAGCAGCCAGGTATTCGACTTCAGTTGTAGAATCTGCAGTCGTGCTCTACTTGGCACTCTTCCAGCTAAACGCTCCTCCATTCAGACAGAATACGTATCCTGACTGTGACTTCGAGTCGTCTTTGTCAGTCTGGAAGCTAGCGTCGGTGTAACCTTCAACAACCAGGTCTTTATGGCCACCATAAATCAGGAATTTATCCTTGTTCCTTTTCAGATACTTCAAGATATTCTTGGCCGCAGTCCAAATGCGCCTCTCTTGGATTTGATTGGTATCGGCTCGTAGCACTCAAGGCATACGAGACATCCGACCTGGTACATATCATGGCATACATGATCGACCCAATTAGCGAAGCATATGGAATATGATCCATTCTCTCTCGCTCAACAGGTGTCTGTGGACATTGTTTCTTGCTGAGAGTTACGCCATGGGACATGGGTAGATGCCCTCTCTTGGCATTCTCCATGTTGAATCGTGCTAGTACTTTATCAATGTAAGTACTCTGGCTCAATCCAATCATCCTCTTAGATCTATCCCTGTAGATCTTGATGCCCAATATGTACTGTGCCTCTCCTAAGTCCTTCATTGAAAAGCACTTTCCCAACCAGCCCTTTACAGACTCCAGTAATTTTGTGTTGTTTCCAATGAGCAGTATGTCATCGACATACAGGACTAGGAATGCGATGTCACTCCCACTGACCTTCTTGTATACACAAGATTCATCTGGATTCTTGATAAAACCAAACTTACTGATGGCTTCATCAAATCACAGATTCCAACTCTTGCTGGCTTGCTTTAGTCCATAAATGGACTTCTTAAGCTTGCAAACCTTTCTAGTGTTGCTCGGATCGACAAACCCTTCTGGTTGTGTCATATACACAGTTGCTTCCAAAATCCCATTTAGGAAGGCGGTTTTGACATCCATCTGCCATATTTCATAATCGTAATATGCAGCAATCGCTAGAATAATCCAGACAGACTTTAGCATTGCAACCGGTGAAAAGGTTTCATCATAGTCAATCCCATGGACTTGTCTATAACCTTTTGCCACCAGTCTAGCCTTGTATATCGATACATTTCCATCCTTGTCTGTCTTCAATTTGAAGATCCATTTGCAACCAATGGGTGTATAACCCTCGGGAAAATTCACCAAGTCCTAGACTTGTTTTTCAGACATGGAGTCCATCTCGGATTTCATGGCTTCTTGCCATTTAGCAGAGTCGGGGCTCGTCATAGCTTGCTTGTATGTCTCTGGCTCATCTCCATCCATAACTAGGATGTCTTGATCATCGGTTAAGACAATACCAAGGTATCTGTCTGGTTGAGATCTTTGTTGTTGCGACCTACGAAGGGTAATAGGTTGAGCATTTACATTGTCTGTTTGATTTTGACCAATCTTCTCAGTTGCTTCCAAAGCACTTAGATTGTCAGATTTATCAGGTTGACATTGTTGCTCGTCCTCTCGAACTTCGTCGAGTTCGATTTTCCTCCCACTTGTCAATTTTGGAAAGGTGTTCCTTCTCCAAAAAGACACCATCACGAGCAACAAACACTTTGTTCTCGGATTTATTGTAGAAGTAATACCCTTTGGTTTATTTTAGATATCCCACAAAGAAACACTTATCCGATTTGGGGTGAAGTTTGTCCAAAATTAATCGCTTGACGTATGCTTCGCATCCCCAAATTTTGAGAAAAGACAACCTAGGAGGTTTCTTAGTCCATAATTCATATGGAGTCTTTTCAACAGCTTTTGACAGAGCTCGGTTCAATATTAGTGCCGCGGTTTGTAGCGCATGTCCCCAGAAAAAAGATAGGAATTTCACTAAGACCCATCATTGATCGAACCATGTCTAACAAGTTCGATTCCTTCGTTCGGACACTCCGTTCCATTGAGGAGTTCCAGGATGTGTCAACTCTGAAAGAATACCATTTTCTTTCAAGTGATCGTCGAATTCATGGCTCAAATATTCGCCACCTCGATCCGATCGAAGTGCTTTAATTTTCTTGCCAAGGTTATTTTCAACTTCTTTCTGAAATTCTTTGAATTTGTCAACGGATTCATATTTATTCGACATTAAGTAGATATAGCCATATCTACTAAAATCGTTGGTGAAAGTGATGAAATATTGGTAACCTTGTCTTG